CCGCAGACGGACTACATCGCTATGCGACAGGCTTACGCTACCCAGTTTGGGGACCTGGAGGATAAGCACATCCCCGCTAAGGAATACATTGAGAAGAAACTGCACGAGCTAGAGACCGGGGAGCTCCGCGCGGAACCGCTAACTGAGGTGATCAGTCGGGACGAAGTCGATCCCGACGTGCTACTTCCCCGCTGGAACGCTAGTGGAACCCTTTCCATTGCTAAGGAGGTTCCCGCACGACAGCTCCGTCTGGTCCGGAACAGCTACGACTCCGTCTCACCGTGCTACAGAACGCCTTGATCATGATCAAGCTGAAGCACCCTGGGCGGGCTGAGCTAGCAGATGTCACCTTCGCCGTCTTCGAGCGCTACAAGGACTACCTTCTGGGAGACTACTGCTACGGCCTCCGCTCCAGTGAGGAGTCAGGCTCTCTGATTCCGCCCTGGCCGCCAATCCTTAGCTATGAGCACGCTATCCGCAAGCATGCCTACAAGCTCATGGCTACAGATGGTCGCTCCTTCGGCGATGCGCTCGCCAAGGCATACAAAGAGGCTACTGTCAAGGAGAGGCACTTCACCACACCCCTCGCGCTACATGCAAAGCGGCCGAACCCCTCCGTGCCCCCTCCCCCGCTAAACCCCTACCAGCGCGACCCCAAGAAGGGGAAAGGCAAACTGGGCAAGGGGAAGGACAAGCAGCCGACGAAGTTCGGCACGCTAGCAGGCACGTCCAGCCGGACCCCCGATGGCAAGCCCATCTGCTACCGTTTCAACGCTAAGGGGGGCTGCAAGAAGGGCGACAAGTGCCACTTCGCCCACGTGTGCCTTCACTGCTTCGCTAAGCACCCAGCCACGCAGTGTCCCACGCTAAAGAGCAAGAAGGACGACAAGCAGCAGGCAGCTAACTGACCCGAGTCCCGTGCGGACCCGCTACCACAACCGGCTCCACCTCCTGGCAAGGTGCTACGTGTGCTCTACTTGTTTGCGGGAGCCAAGAGACCGTGGGACATGGCTACCTGCGTCAAGGAGACGGCCTCGGCCTTGGGTTGGGATGCTACAATCGAGTGCGTGGATATTTGCAGAAGCGCGAAAATGGACCTCACCAAGTCCGCGCTACGCCAAGGCTACCTGGACAAGATTCAGGCCAAGAGTTTCGATGCTATACTTCTCTCGCCGCCCTGCTCCTCGTTTTCGAGGGCGCCTTTTGCTAACCACCGCGGGCCCCGACCAGTCCGTTGCTACCAGCATCCGCGCGGCAAGGATACGCTAACAGCCCGTGAGCGGGATAGGGCTATACTGGGCAACCTCTTCGCCGACTTCGCCTGGGACGTGGCTACCTTGGTGGCGCAAGGCGCCGCTAGCTTCCTCGCCTTCGAGCAGCCGGAAGACCTGGGGGCTATCCACAAAGGTCCCTTTGCTGGACAACGCCCCGCTAGCATGTGGCAGTGGCCCGCTTTTAAGCAGCTACTCAAACAAGGCTGCAGGACGGTGGCCTTTCACCAGGCCAGCTTCGGGACACCCTACGCTAAACCTACCCGACTTTTTCTTCGCACCCCGTGCGAGCTACCTTCCTTCGTGCACGAGGGGGCGCCAGCCTTTGACGAGAACGGCAGCTACTTGGGACCGCTCCCGTCCAGTGAGCAATACGGTGGCCTCTTCCAGCACCGTGCTAAAGGGCTCTTCGCTACCTCTGGCTCCGAACGCTGGCCGCCTCGCCTCTGCCAGTGGCTAGCCGGCGTGCTGGTGGAGACCTGCTTGGACCCTGCTTCGACTGCTACGGAGGGGGAGGTCCAGGAACAGCACAACGACGAGAACCTCAGCTACTCTGTCAACGAGCCCGAGGGTCCCCGAGTCCTTGGGGGGGTTGGCCCCCCCCGCTACTGCCAGCAGTTAGGAGGCCACAAGGACTATCATGACGGCGGAGGCCTCTGCTCGCCGGGACGCTGGAAACCAGAAAATAGGTCCCTGGCCTCAGGGCCGTCTTGGGACTGGCTACGCGAGAAGACCCTCGACCTGGTGCTAAAGGAGCTCGGCAGTGGAGATGTGCGGGAGCTGGAACGTGAAGCCTTCCGGATGGCAGCCGGTGGGGAACATGGCTGNNAGGCTCAAGACCTGGGGGAGAAGGACTTGCTACACCGGGCCGAAGGGCAGCCCCTCTACCTCAGGCTGCTTAGAGGGATGCTTGAGGCTGCCGGCGACCCCGACCGGGAGTTCCTCCGTCGAGCTGAGGAAGGGCTACCGCTAGGCATCCTGCAGCCGCTACCGCGCACTCCGCATGTTTTTGAAGAGCAGCTGAAGTGGCCTCTAGAGAACGCGCCGTGGGAGGCCTCGCTAGCATGGGT